TAGGGAAAAACTATAATAGTAATAGGTATGTGAACTTTAAATAAAATGATATTGTGGATTTACATTTGAGAGAAAAGCAACTGTTGAGCATTTGAAATAGAAATGGACCTTTTTTATGAGGAATAAGAGGTGGCCATCATCATTCCTTTGATTTTTGCTTGATTATTGCGTTAACAAGGATATGTATGAACAGTGTATCGTTTGCCTTTTTTGAACTTTTATTAAAATGATTAATGTGAACACACCCAAAAAAAAAAAAACCATTGTTTGAACCTAGAAGCGAAAACCAAAAGTATGAAAGGACTAAATGGTTGATTATTATTTATCTTTTATTTTCCAAAAGATGATATGTTTATAAAGTAGAAAGGATAAATGCATTATACATGCATAACATGAGATCTAAAATCAAAGCATTGTAGGTGGGTTTTGCTTGTTACCTCAAGCACATGCAAACCATGAAATCCAAAATATTTCAATACTTAATTAAATGTGTCGTTTTTTTTATTAATTTTGGTTGTTGGACATCTATAATAGAAGCTTTTTTGGGATTGCAATAGCTTTTTCATCTTAAAAAACTCACAAAAATTGAAAAAAAACAATTGGATGAGTTTTTAAAAGCCTAAACTTTTTCAAAGAGCTTTTTTAATTAACTTAATTAATAAACTGTTACACAGAGCATTTGCATTGTTTTGGTGAATCTCATAGACTTCCAACTAATGATAAATATACAAGTTCTATAAGGGTACTGTTTAAAAAATAATTAAAAAATAATTAAAAAAAAAAAACTCTTTTATTATAGAGATAAAATAAGTTTTTATTTATTTATTTATTTTATTTTAAGGTTTTTTATGAAAAATCTCCATCAAAAAATATATTGTGGATATATATATATATATATATATATATATATATATATATATATATATATATATATATATATATATATATAAAAGATTTATCTTAGATAGCATATAGAAAATGATATGAAAACTCATTATTTATCATAGAGTTGCGATGCTTCATTTCACTACACTCTCGTTCCGTTGTCCTTTTTATTATTGTATTTGTCATTTTATTATTTTATCATTTTTTTTTTAATTTCAGTTAATGCGCCTCTTTTGACTCTTGTTATATCTGTATATTTCTTCTTTATACGTAATTTGACAATTATTGTAATTTTTTGGGCTAATCATGTAACTTTAGCTTACAGAATCTCAAATGATTTTTTTAGGATTACTTATTATTTATATGACCATTTAACATCATTAATAAGAATCTCAAATGATTTTTTTAGGATCACTTATTATTTATATGACCATTTAACATCATTAATATTATTGAAATGTGTAGGTTTTTTTCCACTAATTATTTAATATATCCTGAATGTTTAAATTATTTTTAGGTTTCTATTTACCCCTTTCACATTAAATGATATGTTGTTTTATCATTTAAATTATATTTAAATCTAAATATTTTTTTTACTAATTGTTAGTAAATATTTAATAATAATTTATTTATAAAATGTCGAATAATATTTTTTATTTAAACAATTCATATTAGAATGTAATATAGATCTAAAAAGGACAAATAAAAAATTATAGAATATTTTAGAATTTTTTTTTTTTTTTTTTTTTTTTGAAGTTTAAACAAAGATCTTATTAATATACATAAACATACAACAAGCAAGTCTTTTTGTAGCTAGAAATTAAAAAGATATTTATAGTTAAAATTAATGGAAGATAATATGATAATGATTTTAAATCATATTATAAATCAACCATTATATAGATACCGTCGATCCGATGAATACATAATTCTTAGGTATATACAGCTCACAAATTGTAACTACAAAATCAACTTCATTTTCGTTTTCTCTTTTTATAAACACCAATTAAAGAAAATCCTCTTTAAAAAAATTATTATTAAACAAATCGAAAGTATTAAATATCTAGTCAAATTTAATGAGACAAAAGAGTAGGATGTCGATTACCAACTCGATTCTTGATTTTCTAGTTTATCCTATTCGGTCATATTAATGACAAACATTTTTTATCTAAGATACCGACCAATACCATATTTCTTGACCTCGTTACTTCGATTTTTCCGAACTCCCCATCTTCTTCCGGATAAGGAAGGGAAACTTCTAACTTCCTCAAACCCGTCACCATCGATCGACGTGTATGCATATGCATATCAGCATATGCGTATTAAAGACTTGTGAGAAGATATTTCGCTATTTGGGCCTTGAAGATATCAAATCAATCTTTCCAGTCGTTCTGTTTTCTTTGATTTCCACCGAAAAAAGTTTGAATCTTTTTAGGGTTTCAAAGAGGAGATCTACACCGATTTTGTGGGGTGTTTGAAAGCGATTAATAAAATCACTTGCGGCTTCTATTCGATTTGGGTATTACGAAAGTGGGTGTTGAGAGAGACTTTGTGGAGGGTAAGTTAGTTTATTGATAATTTGTTTGTGGCTTTTGTCTTGATTACTTACAGTTTTTTTGGATCTTTGTGACACTTACAATATTAGCGATTGCCGGCCATCAATTGAGCATCGTGTGGTCTCAATTTTATATCTCTTAAACACAGGAACACATCTAAACACACTGAAGGTGTTTGGATTATCAATCAATCACAGATGTTGGTTTTGGATTCTTGATTTCTGGTGTGTTTTCTTCTCTTTACCCCTAATTTATTAGTGGTTATCTCTTTGTCTGCTTCTTTTATTTTTCTGTGTGGTAGTGTGTGCTTTCATGCTTCATAAGTATGGTTGACTGGAGATAAGATTTGAGCTTTGCATATGAATTCCCCGATGAGTATTTCAAGATTTTTGAAATCGAGTAAATTGCAAATCGGAAACATAAATTTCTTAAGTGGGTAGCTTCTGATTTATTAGGGTTATTAGTTTCTCTCATTCCACTTTAATTTTGTGCAATCTTTACTTCAATAAAGTGTCCCCATTTCTATAATCATGTGCTTAAATTCCATGTTTGGATGCGCTTTTAAAGCCTAAAGGGAATATTTATGCTTATGTTTTTATAATCATTTGTGGTCAAAATAATTAAATTCGGAGGAGTTGTGTACTTGTGTGCTAAAAATGATTATTGAGAAAAACATAAAATTACTAAAGATCCCTTGTTTTAACTTTTAATCAAGTGATGATTTTTAACTCCCAATGGTCACTTTGAAAGTTAATATGCACATCCAAACACCCTCTCAATGATCTAAATTTCTGCTTTGTAATTCTTTTTAAGGTTCGATGCAAGAAATAGCAACTTACTTCTATCGATTTGTTTATTATATTATCATACTTTTATTTCTTCCCATAGCAATATTGATAAATCTACCTATTATAGCAATGTCAACAAAGCAAATTTGAATGCTATAATTGTGTAAGATTTTACAAAGCATTCTATTGGGATCAATCATTGAACTTCAAATGTTTGGTTTTCACAACAGGATTGATTCTTCATACCTTACTTCCATGAGATTAAATGGAAAACTCAAATGGAACAACAACGAAGAACAATCTTCAAATCATCAAGTATCCTGCATACCAACCATACACTAAACCACTATTAGCTTGGTTTGACATCCGTGTATTCTATGTCCGAATTAGTAATTTCATGGTGGATGGATACACCCCCGAATACCTAACTCTTACCCATATACCATTAGACCCCGATACTATCCTTGAAGTCAATAACAAAAGATGCACCCTTGATTCAACCGGATGTGCATGTCGTTTAAGAAGAAACCGAGTGGATAAAAAGTTTGAAGAGGCCACTTTTGTAAGCACGGATAGTATTCGGTTGACTGGAAGTGTTAAATTTGAGGTTTTTGATGGGGATGATCTTATTCTTTCTGGGGTTTTGGAGATGTGTAAAAATGAGAATGGTAAATTGAAGAATAATGATGTTGAAAGATGGAGTATGAAATGTGAATCCATGGTTAGTGGTGGTAGTCGGGTTTTGAAAGGGAAACAAATTGCGGGTTCGGATTCTATGCCACCCATGATTGAAGTTTATGTTGCGGGATCCTTTGTTGGTCAACCTGTTATTTTGACCAAGACTTTGCAGATTAGTGTTAGAAGGAAGCAAGGTAGAAAAGGGGCCTTGGATCCGATTCCGGAGGGTGAGGCAACGGAATCACGCAAGGATGTTCCGGATAGACTTAGTCTTCAGGTACTCATAATTTTTTATTTTTTTTAATTCCGTGTTGTTTGGATAAACGATGTTTTGAAAAAAATGGTTGATGGATTCCAACGGAATTGGAATTCGAGATTCCAATCTTTTAAATCTCTATTAAGTCAAAAAGAAACATTCATATGTTAACCTCTTAGGTATATCTTAAAACCTCTTAAATCCGTATTATGCTAACGACAATCTCTCGGGGAATGCAGGAATCGGAATACGGGCCTTACAAGAGTGAAAACGAGTACGAATATGAAAATGAAAACAGTCTTCATTGGAACCAAACAGAGTACATGGAAGGTGAAGATGGAGAACTCACGTGGTTCAATGCCGGTGTGAGGGTCGGAGTTGGCTTAGGCCTTGGAATTTGCCTCGGGGTCGGAATCGGAGTTGGGCTTCTAGTTCGTACGTATCAATCTACCACCCGAAACTTCAGAAGGCGGCTTTTGTAGATCCTTCTTATCAAAGTTTTTTTTTTTTTTGCCCTTCTTTTTCACCGTTTGATGATACAATACAGAGTGTGATAGCCGATTGGAATGAGTAAAACTATGTAGACTGCAAACATTCAATTAGTTGTTTTTTGCTTCTTGTTGTAATTGGTTTGTGTAAATAGATTTTGTTTCCATCTATAAACATTATAAAGATTAAACGGTTTTGTGTTATATATAGATTCTTTCAATCCATTAAATATTAATTTTTTTAGTATAGAGAGTTTCACTTTCAATGTGGAATGGATTCTTTGTAAGCATTGGGCTTTTAACATGCCAAAGTGCATCTGATTTACATCTTATATGATAATAAGATGTCATTGGTGCCAAAAATTAAGCCTTCTTTCATAAACTCGGTTCCACAACGAAGTATAACCATCAAATGTCATACACAAATATAAAAATCAAGGGGTTAATAGTTGATCTCGGATACACACACGACTACAATTATAATAAGGTAGTTAACATCCGGGCTGACTGGTTCAGCCCGAATGCTGCTAAGCCAAAGCTGGCTCTGGAGCAACTGTGGCTCCAACAGCATGGCTTGAAGACATAGAACCAGTCTTTTCATCAAAACCCCAAAATTTAGCAGCTTTGACATCATCTTGAGCCATTAACCTTGAAAAATCCTCATGGTCATACTTCATGGTTGCTTTTCCACCAAACTCAGTCGGGAGGTTATCCATATCAAAATACGATCTCATCAGCTCCACACTCTCTTTGTTCTTTGGGTACACAAATTTCACCTTCTGGAATGTTTTCGGATCCATGAAATACTTAACAATCTGCACATTCATCACAAAACATAAACAATGCATACAACAATTACCAGTTACCAGAGGGGGAGAAAATGAAAATGTAGATGGACCTTCCAAAAAGCTTCAAAAATGCGGGGAGGGGTGTACAAAAAAGCGACAGCTAGCCTTTGAGGATAATGGTCTTGTAGTATATTGATGGTGTCTCTAGCGGTTCTAACTGGAACATTGGTGGTGAATGACCACCCAGTAAAGTCAATCAACCATGCCATTTCTTCTTGACCTTCCGGAAGATTAAGCATCGCGTTTTCCATTAGGTATACAAGATGTTTGATCTGGTTCTCCATTGATTTTGTATTCTGCACCCACATAAGTTTTAGGAGAAACAAAAGCAACATACTTTTACTTTTACTTTTACTTTCATTTCTTCTTGTTACGGCATTGTAATTTGAAAAATCTACCCTGATTATAGCAATGTTATTCAAAAACATATAGCTATAATTGGGTAGAAATTTTAAAGGTCAATGTCTTGATAAGAAAAATAATCTACTAGTTTTTAAAAAGTATGCTGAATCACCTGCAGTCCTGGTTTTAATATCAGAACAGTTCTTCCAACTCGGTCATGAAAATTTGCTCTGAATAATTTCCCTGTTTCACCCTCCATTGCGACTTCAGGCTACCAAGTCAAGAAACTTAATATGATTTGACACAATTTATTTATATTATAAGAAGAGCAAAATCTAGAAAAGCACTTTTGCTTTTCATTTTATCGATTTAGTAACTTTAACTATTTTTGGTAGCGATTAAAACCATTATACTTTTCTTGAGTGCTTAGAAAGACCATTTTTCTTGGTTATGAAAATACAAAAAGGCACAACATGCTTTTCACCATTTTATCAATTCAGCCACTGAATGATTCATATTTTATCGATTTAGCCACTAAACTATTATATAATCATAAATGGTTCACCTTAACTGTAAACGAATTATAATGGTTTAATCACTACATAAAATGGTTGAAGTGACTATATCGACAAAATGGTGAAAGTAAGTTGTGTTTTTTTTGGTCTTTATATGAATCTTTAAGACAAATGAATCATCGAATTACTAACCCAACGAATTTCTTCAGGTTTATAGGTTGATCTCCAGGCAAGTGTTTCTTCCAACATCTTTTTTGCTTTGTCTACATTCCAATTCCTAGCTTCCAAATATCTTCTCAAGCATGCATCAGTGCAATACAGTAAGTTTCTCCCTGAAAGTGGTCCAATAGCAGCTTTAAGCTCATTGACCTGCATTGACCAAAGTCCCACATCAGCCATCACAAGGTTTTCATCATTCAGAAAAAAAAAAAAATTATAAAGAAATTGCAAAAAACAAATGGGAAATGAACTACTAGGCATCTTTTATTACACATGATACGACAAGACAACACAGAACATGACAGGTTGTACTTCATTTGACATGCATTGGTCTGGGATTAGAACTGGGAAAGGGACAAATGTCAAGATGACAAAAGACGTAAATACCCTCCCCATCTTCATTCTCATCATCAAAATCTTTTACAACTAATTGTTACCTTGGACTCAGATTGTAGTTCAGGGTGCTCCTGCTCTAGCTGTTGGTGAGAAGATCCACGGCGACGAAAGATGGACATGGTGAAAAAATAGTGCAACTACAAATAAACAATAAAAAAGTAAATTATGTTTGTATAAAATGACTAAATAAAAATGCACTTGTTCATAGTCTCTATAGTCTATACTTCCAAATGGGTATGCAAATGCAGATGTATTAGTGGTCACACGTCTGTTTAAAAAAAGTTTATTAAATAGAGGAAGTACCTATAAACAAAGCTAGTTTGATGAAGTGAAATCCAGCTCATAAAGTGCAAAAGTGCATATAATCTTTGGTAAAGAGAAGAAGAATAAAATAAGCAAAACTAACAACGCAGATATAGGTAAACAAATAAAGCTACTTTACTGAACCAAATCTGTTTAGTATCAAATCCATGTATCGTCATATAGATACTAATGTACAGAAGCAAACAAAATAATCCACAACAATGTTTATTGTTTCTGATATCCAAATTAAAGCTTAAAGTTAAAGCGTTCCTTTGAGGAAGCCACGACATGATAACTTAAGAGAATGTATCCAGATCCAATATGGGATGCTGATAAGAAAACGGAAGTGGAAATCTTGTTAACCCCTGCAAATTGGATTTTTGTTGTTTCGTGTAAGAACACCGTTCCATGGTTTTGCATAAAGGTTTCACAAAACGGGTCTAAAATATATGATAAATTCTAACAACAAAGAGAATCCTTGTGTTATTCAGGAGAATCTGGTGTATGGGCACCTGATCTAGCTCAATCCAGTTCAATTTCAGAAACATGCATTAGCAAAATTAACGTCATATGTATCAAATCAATCCGAATGACATCACATAATTAAACGAAAGCAAGAACTGACACACGAACCTTCTTCCTGGTCCTACGTGACTCCTTTAATCAAAAATGCCCTAATGTGTAATTTCCATGAGACAAACAATAATCAAGTAGATGCTGAACCGACTTTAACCTACAAAACCCCAAATTCAAACAATCTGAAAACAGACAGCTAAACATCACTACGAAACAACAAATCGACGAATCTTCAACATTGTAGATAAAATCTCGATGTTCATACTTATATATAGTAGTTACAGACATATAGACAAAAAAAATCAAAATGTAAAATAGACTCGACAATATTTACAGCAAAATGTGTCGCAGAGAGGCAGGATTCTCGATTTGTACGCACCTTTGATAGAACAAATGCCTGCTAGACTAGGGAAAGGTGTTCAAAATGATCAAAAGTAATCTTTTGCTGAGACGATTTAAGGGAATTATGAGATATTTGTGTTAATTGAGAACAGATGTGTAGGAATCGTGAATGAGAGAGAGTGTGTGCGTTTGAAATTTGTTAATTTGATGCGTGGGAATCATGGGATTTTCTTTATTGCAGTTTTAATGTTAAGAAAACTCACATTGCTGATTCAAACAATAACATATTTCTGTTTTTTAGTAAATAAGTTTATGAATTCTTTTGAGGTAAGAATCTCTCAAATTGATAAAAAAGAATACATATATACACATACACATAATATATATTGTACGCCTGTCATTGGTTGCTTAGAAAGGTGAAATAACTTATAGGTAGCATTTGATAGTGGGACTAAATGGAATAGGACCGGATAGAACTCAACAGAACTAACTCGACGGGATAGTGAGACTAAATGGAATAGGATCGGATAGAACTCAACAGAACTAACTCGACGAGACTATATATACTATCAATATGGTGTTTGTTAATACTAGTACGGGACAACAAAAAATAGTTAAAATTACATAGGATTGGATAGGACTCAATAGAACTGGAACGGACGGAACTATATATATATATATATATATATATATATATATATATATATATTATCAATATGGTGTTTGGTAATACTAGTATGCGGTAACAAAAAACAGTTAAGATTACTATATTGTCCTTCATACGAAATAAATAACATAACTTCATAATTACCAAATAATATGAATTCTAACCAAAATTATAATTAACGTCAATATAAATCTTGAAACCACAAAATATTGAAACCTAAATTAAACAAAAAAACATTAAAAATATTTGTTGAAGAATAACTTTATATTATTATTTTAAACACGGGTATAAGCAAAGAATATAAAGGAAAAAAGAAATCATGAAGGCACTATGAAAAATATATATTGTTCATACATATATAATTTAAAATTATTCGTCTTACCAATTTTCCTTTTCCTTTTCATGGGTTGTCTCTCACAATCACATTCACACCCAAAACATTGAAAAAATCCATAGGGTTTCTTATCTCCTTCTCAGTGTTTATTTTTTCTTATATTTTCAATTTTGATCTTGATTCATGTTGAATCTTACTTTCTAAGGTCTTAGTCTCATTAATCGATGTTGATTAATCTCTTTTCTAAGTTATCATTCTACAAATCACGAAGCAGTTGTGTACATACATACATTAAATTGTTCAAGAAAAGAACAAGTAAAATCAATAAGATCTTATCGTGTGCAAGAAGGAGTGAGAAGAGGAAAGCATAGACCAGGAGAGAAAGAGGAGCAAGTCGAGCAGTTGAGATGGATAGAAAGGGAAGCAATAGATCGAGTAGCAGATCTAGTAAAGGGGAGCTTTAATATGGAAGAGGTGGGGGTCATTAGGGTATCTCTACGGGTGGGTGTCATTGGAGTGTTTCTTGACACTGGAAAGAGAGGGATCGACGAGGATACAACGTGGGGTTTTTTGTCATTTTCTTTTTTGTTCCACTGAGTTCTATCATTTTAGATGGGACTACAATTTAACAAATTAGTCCCATTGACTGGGTTTTTGTTCCATTGACTTTTTGTTCCATCAATGCCAAACAACTTATGAAATGGTTGTGTTCCGTCCAGTCCAATTCTGTACCACATACCAAACGGTGCCATAAGCATTTTGTGTTGTTAAGTTAGTAAATAATGTCGTTTGGTTCCTCCACTGTATTGCAACTTGTGATGTGTGAAGAAAGAACATGTTTATGCTTTGTGATTTACAAATTTAGCTAATGGGTAACCGATTGACTTTAATATGTCTAATTTCGATCAATATGTATAGTGCTTGCTGACTTTTATACTATTGCTTAAAGATAAAACTTCAAAAATGGTCCATGTGGTTTTACAAAATCTGAAGTTTGGTCCCTAATTTACAAAAACCTCACGGATCGTCCCTGTGGTTTCAAAACTTTTAACATTTGGTCATTTCGGCTAACTCCGTAAGCATTTCACCGTTAACTCATTTTTCATTATTATATTGCAGGGGCAATTTCATCATTTCAGTTGTAACATTCTCTTTTTAATATGAAATTATTACCTATTTTGTACACATCAACTCCACTAACCGTCCTTCTCCCAAGAACATAACCAGTTACATTTGTAATCATCGGGTTCATTCCCATCGTAGCAGGAACATAAATTGGGATTTAGGGTTTAAGCAGAAGGAATTGCAATATTGCTATCAATATAGTGTTTTCGAGAAAAAATTGCAACCGTGCAGGACTTGGGAAAAAATATGGTACAATACTATAACAAAATTTGTTTTTTCTTGGTCAATTGTGTTCACATAAAGAAATCATTGACTTTACCCTTTCTTTTTTTGTGTTTGCAGAAGGATATGACAACTATTTCACGTTGAAGATACACTACAGTGATGTCTTCACCAAAGCACATGGAAGGAAATACGTTTATGGTGTTGTAGCATATGTAGATGATGTTGACACTGATTTATTTTTAGTTCATGAGCTGGATGACATGGTCCGAGAACTAGAGTACAAAATTGATCAAACCCTTTACTACCATTTATGTATCCATGAATACCCTTTAGACTATAGCTTAATGCCTTTAGTTAGTGACCAATATGTACTTAAAATGGTATCATATGTCCCTAAACACAAACTTATAAGGGTGTATATTGAAAATGGTCAGACAAGTGTAACTAGTTATTACAAGTCTCCTTCTAAAGTTGTTATTGAAGAGTTTGAGCTTGATAGTGTGTCATCTGAAATGAATAGAAAGAAGCCTTGTAAGAGAGTAGCAGGATCGTGTATTAGAAAGCTTGATTTAAACAAGTATGTGAACCCTGATTATGAGCAGTCACAAGTATTAGATGTTGATGAAGGGCATGATTACTCGAAGAATATTCTGCCATATATATAAGATCACAAGCTTGCAAACAAAGTCATGTCATTCAAGAGGAAGTAGTCAATCATGAAATTGAAACTCAAGAAGAAGTAATCATTAGTGTAGTTGAAACATGAGAACCAGTGGAAACTTACCATGTAGAGGAACCAAGTTGCCAAGTTGATGATGGAGTTCATACTGCAACCGTCTATGACCTTGAACCATTTGTAGAGGATTATTCATTTTATGTTGATTATGATGTTGAGTTTAATGTTTAAACTTCATGTGAACAACAACCACAAGTGAATTATCCAGAGGGTACGGTGAGTGATGATAGTGGAGATACTTTATATTCTGAGAGTAGACATGGTTCCGAGGGTTGTGGAAATGACTCTAATGATAGTGAATACAATGTGGATGAGTCTAACATACAATTTCATGTAGATGTAGACATGAGTGAATTCCATAATGTTGTTGATGTAGATGAACATGGAATCTTAAACAATCATTCAACAGATGAAAGGAATGACATGGTTGATAATGAGTTGGAAGTTATTATGACTGATGATTATCAATTTGCAAGATTTCATGGAGATAATAGGAAGAGACTGCTAAAAGAGTTGAGTATTTTGAGTAGATGCTCACATGGAGAGGCTCATATAAAACCATTTCAGATTGGCCAGGTCTTCAAAACCAAGCTTGATGTTAAAAACTTCATGAACTCACATGTTATAGAAACAAGGAGGTATCTATACCTAGCAAAAGATGACAAAATTAGGATTAGGGTGAAATGTAAAGGTGTTGTAAGTAAGCCATCTAAAGCAGTTGATGGTAGTGGGCCCTCAACTAGAAGTAGGGAAAAGTGAAAAGGTAAATATGTAATTGCCAATAAAGGTACATGTCCATGGGCAATCCAAATCTCGAGGGCTAATGAAAATTAGGATTGGTTGGTGAAAATAGTACAAGATGAGCATAAATTTTTGCAAACAAGGGCGATTAAAGCCTGCACTTCCAGATACATAGCAAACTTAATTGTTCAACAAATTCAGAGTATCCCTAGAATTCCAGTGAAAGCTTTACATGAAGAATTGTGCAAGAAACTAGAGTTAGGAATGTCACTGAAAAAGGTTGTTAGGGCAAAGACAATGGCTGAACGTATCATTTGTGGGGACTACCAAGTATAATATGGATTTTTTAGGGATTATGGGTTGGAGATACTAAACATTAATCCTGGTACAACAGTTCGGATTGATTTTAAATAAAAAACCTCCCTCTGTATAGCCACAATAACTTTTAGAAGAATATGTGTCTGTCTAGGTGCATTGAAGTTGGGATTCAAAGTTGGGTTAAGAGATTTTCTAGGCGTGGATGGTACATTCATGAAAGGCCCTTACCCTAGGCAAGTGTTAACTGTTGTAGGGTTGGACTCAAACAATGACATATACCCTGTAGCATATGCAGTGGTAGAGACAAAATCAACAAGTAGTTGGACCTGCTTCTTGGAACTATTAGGAGAATATTTGGATATGGGAGCAAATACAAACTTTACATCCATTTCTGATATACAAAAGGTATGTATCACCTAACTTTTTTTTCTTATTACTATTGCTATATACATTTGGGTAACTGATGTTGCATATACTGAGTTTTGTTTAGAGAATAATACCAATAATTGAGAAGGTATTCCCCAGTACAGAACACAAGTTATGTTTGAGGCATATCCAAGAAAATATGAAGAAACGGTGGAAAGGAAAAGACTTAAGAGACCAACTTTGGGAGTGTGGTATAGCAACAAGGTTCAATCACTTTAACATGGCAATGGATGAGTTGAAGAATATCAATGAGGAGGCTCATGCTTGGGTGTGTAAGATCCCAACAAACACTTGGTCTAAATCTCACTTCAGTGGTATGTTTGTAAAAATTTAATGATAAATGTTAATATTTCTTGCTGTGTGATTACTATATGTGTAATTGTCTTCTTTTAATATATATTATACAGGTAGGGCACACATTGATTGTGTTGGAATAGTGTCTAAGGCTGCAACAATATTTGGTAAGTAATTGACCCGATTGAGCATGGTCCTTTTGGGTTGCCTTCACCATAGCAACTTGATAGGATGATTTACAATGAGAGAAGAAATATTATAAGGAATAATAATATTGTTGTTTGATTAATATAAGTCATAAATTAATTAGGAATTAATTTGGTGACTTAAAGAAGGGCATAAACTGTCAAGTGTATGATAGTTGTACTTTAGGCTATAATCCCTTATGGATAAGGGGTGGACGGTTTTAGGGGCTTAGGATAGACCTAGAATTCGTCCAAGGCTTATCATTAGGGTATTGGATTGCTTAGGGCCTAAGTTATCCAATTAGGGTTTAAGGGTGAAACCCTAGGAGCCTTACAAGTATAAATAGACCCAAGGGGCCAAGGAAATCGACACCCTTGTCACCAAAGGAACCCTGGCCGATTTCTTCATCTCCTCTCCTCTCTCTATAATCATCCTCTTGCTAGTTGGTGTTTGTAAGCCATTAGAGGAGTGACAATTGTGACTCTAAGCTCCAAGGACAAGAAGATTCAAGCAAGTAACTTAAGGTAATCTTCTAGATATGTTTTTCTTATGTTATTACCTAGATCTATTGTTCAAAAGTCTTGGATTCAATGCATGTTCAATTAGAGAAACCCATATCCAAGCATTAGGGTTTGTATGCGAACATAGGAATGTTCATATGGCCAAAACCCATCAGTGGTATCAGAGCCTAGATTAATTTCTATTGAATTGATGCATTGGTTGCTTGTTTGATGCTTGCAAAATTCGAATTTTGTCACCCTGCCTGATGAACTCGATGAGTTCCATAGTGGACTCGGTGAGTAGGCCTCAACTCGGCGAGTCCATTGTGGTACTCGGCGAGTTCGAGCGTCAGAAAGAGCTAATTTTGGGATTTCTTGTTGTTTATCCTGTGGATACTTACCTTAATCATATTAGGTCAATATAAATCCGATTTTAAGATATATTTGAGTATATTCTTGACCTAATTGAAGATATTTATCAATTAATTAAATATCAGTTTCCTTATGTGATAATTGATTAATTATTTTAATTAAATTGGTAAATTGTTTTGCAAGAAATAATTAAATAAACCAAATATGGATAATTATGTGATTAAATGTTAATTTAGATTATTTGTTATTTGATCCTCTATGTTTTGAAAAGTTTAAAACCTGCCCTCAAGTGTTGAAATTTATGTTTTGTGATTAAAAGTTTAATTTAGAACCCTAGAATTTTACAAGTTTAAAATTCAACCCTATACTAATATAATATTACAAGATTAATATATATATATATATATATATATATATATATATATATATATATATATATATAATTAAAATGCTAGTCTTACCGTTAGTAGGCGTCATTCATGAAGCCGGTCTATAAGGTGGGTATAAGGTTGCTGCCTATAAAATGGTGCTTAATTGGTGTACACTCACACCCACCGCTTGCTTGATCGGTGGATGGTCGTTAGCCGAACGGGTAGGATATGGCAACCTCATCTCCTCAATAAAATTATAATAGGAAGTACAAAGTAACTACATGTTTTTTCAAAAAATTCCCAATCCTAGTTACTTTAGGAAAAGTGAATTGATGCAATCCCATGAAATTACACTTTGCACCCTTGTTAAGAAGTTAGTGGAGCGTGTGTGGTTTACCAGCACACTAATTGGTTCTAATTAAAGGTGGCAAAGGGTGATTCATTGTTTATCATAGTTCGATGGAGCGTGTGTGGTTTACTGGCACATCGAATAGGTGATTGTTACAATGAAGGCACCATGTGAATTTGCATGGTAATTGACACCCACTTTGTGATCCTCGGTATCCCAGTCACAAACGAGAGGGGCATATCGAGATTTAAACATGTTATTGAAAAGTTTCAATGAATCTCATCTAAACCTAGGAATTCTCAATACACTTAGAGTTAAAGTTATGTTTTATAGTGGAGAATTAGTGAATCGTCATTCACTTACCTTCAAATTGTTTGCATATTAGATTACGGCATCCTTTTTCTAATATGTAAATATTGTTGCTGGATCCTATCCCTAATTTTTCTTGGGTAATAATTAGGGATTCAAATTATGATCTATATTTGTCCTTTCTATTTGTAGATGTCGAACGCGAACAACGCTGCTGCTAGCTCGTTCACATTGATGAGCCTTTGCCAAAAGGTGACTTTCGATGGGATGAACTTTAGCAAATGGATAAGATACATTCGCACGATTGCTCGCTACGAGGACAAGGAGTATGTCCTCGATGAGAAGCTCGAGAAGATCAATCCTGAAATCGCTACTCCGGCTGAAATCACCGCTTTTGAAACTCATGAGCGTGATGCAACGAAGGTTCATTTCATTGTGATAGCCACTATGAACTCCGAATTCCAAAAGTCCTACGAGGACATGTATCCGTATGAAATGCACCAAGACTTGTTGGAGAGATACCACAAAAACGCGAGGCAGGAACGTTACAAGATCTTCACTAGCATGATCTTCGTTAAAATGGGTCATGGTGAATCTCTAACCGTGCACCTGCAAAAGATGCAAAGGTATGTCGATCGTCTTCGCAAGTTGAATGTTGACTTTGGGGAAGACTTGGCAATCGACATGGTGCTTCACTCCTTGCCTCCGTGTTACAACAAATTTAGGATGACCTACCACATGAACAAAGAAGAGGTCACCCTAAGTAAGCTACAAAGTCTCCTTAGGGTTGCTAAGAGCAACCTCAACGACAAGTCTGTTGCACCCACTCCCAATCCACCCGTTGCTCCTGTTTTGACCATTGGACAAGGAAGATGCAAGAAGAGGAAGGCTCCGTCTAAGAGCCGCCGCAAGGGAAAGTCCCGAGATGGTTCCTCCTCTAGTGGGACCAAAGTTGATCCCGCTAAGCCTAACCCTAACCCAAAGGAGGCAGAGTGCCACCATTGCCACAAATAGGGTATTGGAAGAGAAGCTACCCAGAGTGCCTGCAAGCTATCAAGGAAGGAAAGATCAAGCCGTCTTTCGCAGGTATATATACAATTAAATCTAATGATTTATCTCATGATATTTCTTGGGTCCTCGATACCGGGTGTGGTTACCACATTTGTTCTGAATTGCAGGGACTAAGAAGAAATAAGGATGTGGAGCATGGAAGAATAAATCTAATCATGGGGAATAGAAGATCGTCGCATGTGACCAAGATTGGAGTGTATTCTCTAGTGCTTAGGAATGGTTTATTGTGACATCCCCAAAATCACGGCCAGAAAAGACCGGTTTTGTTTATACTTTATTTTAAAATCAGAGTTATCTTTTAATAAAAGAGCTGCGGAATTTGTCCCAAAACAATAATATGATAAGATTTATCAAAAGCATTTCCTTAGAAATGTATTTCATTAAAAGATTTGGGATGTCATGTTCGATACAGTACATAAGTATAAACAACACAATATAAGCCTTACTACATTATTTCATATCTACAGGCCTATATCCGTAATCTCTCGTCCAAACATCATATCTATGCTCAAGCGCCACTACCTGTAATGCATAAAACTGAGTGGGTCAGGCTGGGGAGCTTGGTGAGCACATAGGGTTTTCAACCCACAATAAATAAGTTTATTAATTTCATCAATCAACAATAACTCGATTACCCGTTCCCGTTATCCTCACATTATGTTCCTAAACACCTATCATCAGGGACCTATCCTAAGGATCATCATCGGGATGGACACCACTGCTAAGGGGGGTCCTTAGAAATAAATGTCCTAAAGGCAACCATGTGGGGGATGGAGTACATCGGTGAACACATCGTTCACAACACCTACAGGTTGCGAGCCT